GAAAAAGGAATTTCGCAAAAGAAAATGACCTCCTCGTGCCTTGATACATTTAGCAACACGCTTTGGCATACTCTCGATTAGTTCTCGAATGATATGCATCGATAGATTATTCCATTCTTCTGATAGACGTTGTTTCAAATCTTGTACAGAACGAATGGGAGTTTCTTCTAATTTTTTATCGATGATAGACCATAAACAAAAAAGAAAAAAAAAGAAAAATAATTTGCTAAACACTTTGCTCTGCTCATACGAAAATGTCGTTTTTATATAACCTTATAATCCGGCTTATTCTGTTTTTAATTTGTGAACTTCTAGTCGATTTAATTCTGAACAAAATGAGACCTTTTCTGGCTTTGTAGGCCATTTTCAGACCAAGTTATAAGCAAAACACTTTTGCCAGTGAAACACACTGGCAAAAGGCGACATCTATCAAACTGAACTGAAATTTTTTGATTTTACAACTTTAAGATGTGACGATGAATGAAATCAAGAAAGACATATTCTTGTGCAGAATTTTGTGCTCTATTTATCTAACTAATTTTAAAAATAAAAAAGTTTAGTTTTCATGACGAAAGTTTTAAAAAAAGAAGGTTGGCCAGTTTTTCTAAAACCTTTTCCTTTAAAAAGATCTATGAAAATCTGATTATTTTTAAACTTCAAATACATCATCTTGTGCCGTTTTTTATGCTCTTTCTTTTAGTGTATAATACATTGAGATAGGATTTAATTTAACGGAATAAATGGCTCTTGTTCGAGTTTTTGCGGTCGGATTCAATAAAACGGACTTTAGGTGGCCAAAATAGAGAGAAAAGTCCAAAATCTTTTTAGCAGTGAATAGCTCGTGAAATTCTCTATCGAAGCATCAAGGTTTCAATTTTTTTAGGGAAAAACTCTCGGTTAAAAACAGCAAAATACAAAAGGCAAAAAAAACGTTTTTCACCTAAAAATCTTTTTTTAACTTTTAAAAGCTGCAGTTAGAAGATCTAGCCGCATCCCACAGCGCATTTAGTAGTCCTTCTTTCATACTGTCTATATCACTTCTTAAATCAAATTTCTATCGCTTATTGTTCGAAAAAAAGAAGAAAAATAAAAAGTCCTAAACTTTTGTCCGGCAGTGTAGATGGTCTACTGTGTGTGAATATTGAATAGAATTGATGATGTGTAGAATTACTGTGAGATTTTAGATGACTCTTTTTCATTCATTGAGAAGTTTAACTGTTTTCTGTCGGATAATTTTATTGCTAGATCAATATTGTTGTGAAGTTGTTGTTCAATCGCATAGTGATCAGTCGAATTAATATTGATAAGAATGGACAGGAAGAGAAAGAGAATGTATGAAATGATCAGTGGTGATATCGATACTATTCTACTAGTTGAGGCGATAGATGAAAATCCCGCGGACAAAGTAGTGGTAGCCGTTTGTATGTTTTCAACTAGGGTTGTTTCTTTATTGGTTAGTGAGCTGGTGCTAGTAAATGTTGGATAACTGTCCGACGAGTATGGTGACGAAGTATTAGTTGCTGCGGCTGAATATGATGATGGTTGGTGGGCAATACTAGAGCTTACAACTGACGGACGAGAAATCTCCTTCATTTCGGTTGATTGAGTAGACGACGTTATACGATTGGTATACTCAACAGTTACGTGAAAAGACGTGTTTATGAAAGGGAAAATGGGGTAACCATCAGTAGAGAAAAATGAAGAAGTAATAGTTTCGACAGTTGTAACAAGTGGCGATGATGATTCATAAGCAGTACTTGTGTTATCTATTAAATCTTGAGAAGTTTCCTTCAGATAATTTGGTATTGTGGATGACATAATACTGCTTCTATGTTTTGTAGGCAAGTGGATAGATGTGTCAATAAAAGACGAAAAGTTAGTTGAACTGATGGTTGGTGAGCTAGAAACAACAGAATTGAAATATGAATTAGAATTACCTATGGCATTTGTGAAAGAGTTTGTTGTAGTTTCTTGAAAAATGATTTGAGGAGTAGAACTGAAGTAGCTAGAGTTGACATTACTGGCGTTTTGTAGCACGATATTATAGACATTGGGACCTTCTTGCAATGAGCGATCGAAAATATTTAGAGTATTTGTATTATTGTCATTTTGACTGAGCCATGTGTTAATGCCAATATTCAATTGATCGGTCGCTCGTATTGAAGAAATTACAATCATATCGTTTAGACCCGTTATATTCAGAAGAATATAAATGAATGACAATGATTGAATGACTTCTAGTGGTGTGGCCGTTACTGTTAAAAGTATTCGAGTATTAAAACCATCTGTGACAGTATTTGTGCTGAAACTGACATTCAAAATACGATAAACGATGTATGATAGTGTTGCATTTGTACTAGAGAAAACGGTATCTGGAATGAATTCAGCATCTGGTACGTCGTCGACGAGATAATCGAGTTTGCCATCGTTCAATGTATTGTTTCGATCGAAATATATGTCTAGCAATACACAATGAATCAGAGAATGGCTTGTAAGACTATTTAGTAGAGATAATTGTTTACTATTGCCATTCGGATTTTTATTCGTATATGAAGCGTTAAATGAATTAAAGACACCTTTGAGTGAAGATAACATTTGCCATTGTATCGATGTTGTTGTAAATGGATGTAGATCCCCAAGAGCAACGGATAAACTTGGTGATGACTGAAGTGTGTTATTGATCAGCATCGACAGCATTTGTATGTTAATCAGAAGATTTTTCTGATTTCCAGTGATGACTGGTGTACCACTCTGCATTTGGAAATCATTCGCAGCACCATGACCGTTGTTACTAATTAATACAGCTAAAAGAAACGGCTGTGAAATTTGCTGTTGAGCTAAAGATAACAAGGGATCTGGACCGATAACGTATTTATCAAGAAAATAAGCAATATCCAATCGTGCATTTGGCTGAACAAGAACTGTAGCAGGAACGAGAACTATATTTAGTAATTTCTCATCTAAGATGTAAGATAGGTTTCCGCCAATACGATACCATTGCGCTTCACTTGGTGCTGCCTCATAATAAGGTATGATTAACCATCTGACGCTTCCTGACGTACCATGAACAAGTGTCCCATTACCACTGGCGTCCATTAGACTACCATCAAACGTTGGTTCACTGACACTGAAAAGCTGACTAACTACTCTTATATTATCATCAGATGTAGTGATAATGATATCTAGTTTTATGTTTGTGATATCTGAGACTTCATTAGAATTTTGCATCTGTAATTCGGCATAAAAACCTTGACGTGTAAATGTCACCTTCTGCAAAATACGGATATTAACACTAGCACAAACACTTCGACGGCTTTTGCTTTCGACAACAGCTGTGTTATACTGCTTCAAAGCCCACTGAAAACTAGAGAATATATCGTCGTAGCCATCTACTTGAGCTGCTTGCACATCATTATCGTATTTATTTAAATTTTCAACAAACCTATTAAGTTCAAGATAAGGTAGTGATGGATCTACAGTGACATTTAAAATCCAAGCTTCCATTGTATGATTATAGTAGAGAAGAAGATTAGATACATTGATACCAAGTGGGACTGCAGACGTTGTAGTTAAGTCGTCATATTCTCGTGTACTTACAAAGTGTCCAAGTTCACTGTTATATTGCCGCGCACGATCGAAAGCTGAAAACCATTGTGCATAATTGAGTGTTGTGCTTTCACTAATATTTCGCCACCATGTGCCACCATATATTTGATCGTAAACAGTGAAATAGTTCCTGACTGCAGTATAAATTCTGCGTAATTTCGTTTTTGCAGCAAGAACGGGTGGATCTTCACTACTCTTTGAGTGTAACTCTGGACCAACAAATGGATTGCATGCTGCATTGAGCTTATCGAAATTAGAAAAACATTTCCCGATTGATATTGCTTTAGGAACTAGCTTTATAATTTTTTTGATGCGTTGACGATCACGAATAAGATTTGGATGCTGTATCAAGGAAACTTCATAAGCAGATGTGAATGAAGAAGAATCATCGCTTTCTAGAACCAGAGCAAAGTGTATTATTCTATTTTAGATAATTAAAGTGTTGCTTATGTTAGAAAAAAAATAAAAACTTAACACAAATGCGCAAAAGCTCAGCTGGTTACATCTCCAAAATAATCCCTTAAGACGAAAGGTCTTGAGAAAATTGGTGATTATATTGAGCATATATTAGAAGAGATTCACTGTTGGATAGAGGATCCATGGTCAAAAGGGTGTGTATATGTAATCTTGACAGCCATACTCACACTCACCCACACCCACCCTTGGAACCATAAAACTCATTTGATTGTATGTATAGTAAAGAGTAGTCATTCTATTATATAATATTCAGCACTGCGAAATCAGTTCTGCCTAATGTTGAGAACTCGATAAATATTTCGTCTAGTTGACCTATTAGACGTCGATCGACTTCCATGGATTTCTGGGATTCTCGGCATTGAGTCGAAATAAAATTTTCAGCGATGTTGCATTTTCTTCCAATTTTAGAATTATGTCAAAGCCCAATTTCTAAGAACTATAAGAAATGTCAAGTGATTTCGACTGAAATAAATGCTCTGATCTACGTAACTCATATCATGATGGAAGTGGATGGAGTTTCGAATAACTTTATTTCAATCTAATATCTGATATTTGATGAAACTGATCTTGCAATGTGCAATGCTGAGAGAAAGAAACGTATTCTTAAAATAACTGTGCTTTAGGATTCAGTGTTTAAAAGTGGAGCAGACGCATCATAATGGCGAAAAATAATTTAAACCGAAAAATATGGAAAATCACTGTCGTCGAACTGATTTCAAAATTACGTGTGAATCACCTAGACATCTGATGCGAAACGTTTTTCATTAGACTAAACTTTTGATTGGGATATCAAGGGGAGAAAGAATGTGTACCAGATAGAAATCTGACCATGTTGCTTTGAAGGGCACAGTAAGAAGCAACAGCTTTTTACCAAGAAAAAAGAGTGGTAGATCTCAAAACGTCGAGAAAAGTAAGAATTCTGACGGGTTTTCGCAATATTCTCTCCAAGAGTTTTTTTTGACTAAAAAAGAACGGTTTATTATTGGAGAAGCATTTGTTGCAACTATGATTGCTTATAATTTTTCTGAAACACTATGGAAAAAAAGATGTTGAAGTGTCAAGGGAGAAACTTGGATCTCTCTATAGATCGTGACAGACATTCTAGTAACAGCGTTTTGTTGTATTAAAAACTCGTCCAGATGCATTAGTAATGCCGTAATTTGTGTGACGAATCGTGACAAGGAACATAACTTACGGAGAGTAATTGTTCTTTTCCCCTCGCCATGGTTTTTAAAAACATTCATTTTGTAAACGCTTGCAGAAATTGCTATATTCGAGACGCACAATTCTATCATACTTTGCATTTTAATCTCTTACGGACTGTGCTAAAACTATTACATAGAATATCGCCGCGAAAGTTTCATATCTTGCTTTATGCAAAACTTGAAGGGTTGTTTAGTTCTACGCTGAACAAAGGGACAGCTTTTCTTTCTTTTTTCGTCAGAGATTCAGAAATTCGAGTTACCGTTGTCACTAAGAGTGCTTGTAGAGTTTTCCTTTGATAAAAACTGATAGATCGAAAAATAATTTAGCCATCCTATTAAACTTCTGCACTTTTTTTCATTAAACTGATGGTTTCACGCACAAAAAATTATC